CCACAGCCTAAAGATATCAATGACAGGTCCCATGAGCAGATCACATTTCTCAGGACAGCCCACTGTTTCAAAAATGCTGTCCTTCCCCTTCTGTCAGGTTCAGGTAAGAGCTTCTGGGTGGGCTCATGATTTGGAGGGAAGATGACAGTTCCTCAGAGTCAATTTTGTGGTGAGGTAACAGTTACAGCAATAGATGCTCTTCCTGGCACCCTGGAGCTGCCAGTGTCTGCATTATAATTCTGGAATGCAGATGATAATGAATCTGGGGCCCAGCTGAATGAGCAGAATCCTGAGACAGCATGGGTGGCATCAGCCAGGAGATCAGAGGAGCCAAGCTGTTCCTAGATGTCTGCCTGTGACTTAGACGATGGGGCACCCAGGAAACCTCTCAGGAGTTCAGTGATGCTCTGATGGGTACCGTCTTAAAGAGGAAACCAGCTTTGGCTGCTGCTGAGGTTGGGGAGAGATCTATCTCTGTTTGTGCTAACAGCAGTAATAATAATCCAGAGGTTAGAAGCTGCATCCTTTCCTTCATCTGTGAACCTATGTGAGGGCCCACTGATTTCTAGTTATTAGTTGTACACAGCTTTCTTGTCCTTAGGTTTTCCTTAGCCTGACACTTGATTTCATATTTCTGTAGATCTCACATACCCAGTGTGTTTAACACCACCCCAAAGTGGGGTGCACTGTTGGAGTGCTCTCAGAGAGGCAGCCCCAGTTCCCTCCTCTTTCCTGGCATTTACTGAATTTCACAAATAATGACAATGTGATTATTTGGTCATGTGTCTCCCCCACTAGGCTGCAAGCTTCATGTAGGCAGGAATGACACCATTCTCAGACCTAGCACAGTGCCAGCGAGGCCCCGGGGCACTGAAATGAATAAATGGATAGTGAGTGAACTGATGAAGGATGACGGCTTCACAACTTCTTGTTGGGTGGGTGAATAAAGAGAAAGGTGGAGTTCACCCAAGTGATAAGAGGCTTGGAGTATGGCTCTACACAGCAGGTAAAGGGAACCTGCCATCTTGCATGTCTCATACTACACTGTTCACCTCTCCCCACCCTGAAAAGCCCCACTTATTCTGCTACTCCTTGGCCCCCTTAGTGATGGCAAACCAGCCCCTCAATGTCCTAGTCAGGAACCTACGCATCATCCCTAATACCGGCCTCTCGGGCACTGACCCCACCCAATCCATCCCTCAGCCAGTGGTCTCTGATCTACCTCCCAGTAGCTCTCCAAGCTGCTGGTGGCCCTTCGCCCACATCCCACTGCCGCCAGGGCAGGGCACCGGCACCTCTTACCTGGACTGCTTCCACCACCTGTGGATGATATTGTCTTTTTCCACACCAGCCTCCTCCACCTGCTCCTCTATAGAAGAGTGCCTCCAACTCTAAAGACCATACAAATCACCTAGGGACTTTGTTAAAATGCACAGCAAGTGATTCGGGAGATCAGGGTCTGAGAGTTTGCATTTCTGATAAGCTACCAGGTGAGGCCAATGTTGGTGGTCCATGGACCACACTTTGAATAGCCAAATGTCATTTTTAAATTTTAAATCTTAATATGTCGTTCCTTAAAATTCTTCAGTAGCTGCCTATTGCTTACAAGGCCTTATGCCATCAGTTACCTACCTTCTTGTCCAATTCATTGTTCGACATTTCCTCCATGTTCACTGAAGTGTTTGTAGTTTCAAATTGCTGCCCTCTTCCATGTGCCTATGCTGTACCCTCTGTCTGGAATGCCCTCTTGCCTCCCAGCCCCTCTCCCTTAGTGAATTCCACCTGGACTGCTATGATTCACCCAGTCATCACTCCCTCCAGAAAACCTTTCCAGATCCCATCCACTCACCCACCACTGCCAGAGTTGGACCTGTCTCTCACAGCCCTCCCCACCTGGGGAGGCACATGCCTGCTTGCCTGTCCATCTCCTCACCTAGAGCGAAGAAGACAGAACCTGGGACAGTGACAGTTCACAGCTGTTTGCTGGATGAAGGATGGTTATACAGAGGGATGCACCTGTCCTCTCTTTGAAGCTCCTCCAGTCCTCCTTCGAATGACAGCTATCTCTCCCAGCAGTTTCTATAGGATGCTAAGGGGAGTCTTTCAATTCACTGCATGCTCCCACTTCCTGACTCCATCTGGTTTATTTTTTTTTATTTTAGTCCTCACCAGAGGATATTTTTTCCATTGCTTTTCACAGAGAGGGTGGAAAGGAGAGAGAGAGAACATTGATGTGAGAGAGACATATCGACTGGTTGCCTCCCACACACACCCCAACTGGAGCCAGGGATCGAGCCTGCAACTGAGGTACATGCCCTTGGCGGGAATCAAACCTGAGACCCTTCAGTCAGCAGGCTGACGCTCTAACCACTGAGCCAAACTGGCTAGAGCTCTTTGGTTTACTTTTTGATATCAACAATATTCTATTTGCTTTTGTTTGGGGCGGAATCACTGGGGATAGCTGAATCTGCAGCTCCTGCTGCACTGGGGTTCCTGCCACTTTGTGGACCATCCACTAGACGAGTCTTCTTGCGTGAAGGCCCCTACCACCTCACCCTGAAATTGAATTCTCTGCACCAGCTTCTTGTTCCCACAGCTTGCTAATGTCTTTGCCCAGAACCCATTGGAAGCTGAAGAGGCAAGGCTAGGTGTGTGACAAAGAAGCAAGTTGCTTCTGCTGCCCTGGCCCTGGTTCCTTGCAAAGAATCCACATTTTCCCAGAGTGTGCAGAGGTCCTAAGGCCTGCCTGCTCCTGGAGTTGGCCCACCCTCCTGTGACCAGGAATGTTTGCTCAGCACTCCTAGGGGAACCCTGTCCTCTCCCCTCTCCCCAGCTTTCCACTAGTACCCCAAAGCACAGTGAAGCCCCAAAGTGCTTTAAGGTTCATCCAGCCCTGATGCCATTATTGGCTGAGCTACTCTAAAGTCACTTTCCATGACCCAGGGCTATATTAGAAAAGAAATGGGACCAAGAGGCAGACTATGCGAGTTCTAGTCCTGGCCCTTCTTTGGCAGGCAGTTAGATGTGAGCAGAGCAAGAACTATGGGCCAGATACAAAAGGTCACCAGGGAGGAAAGTCCCAAGTGCCTAGCAAAGGACAATTGTATAATGGGACCTTGCCCCCATGGTGACCTTTCCTCCCCTAGCATATAGCTAGCTGGTCATGTGGTTTGGGCTCCCTGACATTTCCTTCCTAGAGATAACATTTAGACCTCAATTGGGTTTCAGCTCCAGGCCCCAAAATGCAGCAAAACCAGACAAGTGATCCCATGGCTGACCTCAGGACCGGCTGCATTGGATAATGAACCCCCGCTTGGTGCTGACCAATCAATCAGTGGAGACCTAGACTCTGAAAGGACACACCTGGAAAGCTGCTGAATATTCTATTGAAATCTTCCCCTGGGACCTCCCCTAAAATCTACATCCATTAAACTTTAGGACTGATGGCCCCCTGTGCTCTCCCTTTGGGGAACATGCCAGTGCCTTTCCCTTCCCCCTCCTCCTTCCCCTCTCCCCAGGTGCTTACCATTACCTTCCTCACTCCCAAGCTCCTAAGGGCCCTTCCTTTACCTCTATAACTTGTTTCCTCAACCCATTTCTTCTACAAATTACTTCTTCTACCTCTGTGATTTTATAAATAAATGTTCTCTTATAGTTAGAGCCTTGGTTCTGAATTCTTTCCTAGCCAGAACTCAAGTACCGAGATTGCTGAACCCAAGTCTGCTCTTACCCCACCAGTCTAACACCTGGTGTTGTTCCTGCTGCCCACAACACTTCCATTTGCTACTTGCCTAACCATATGCAATCACTTTGTTTCACTAGGTCTGTTTTAACATCTGTATAATGGGTTTATGTACCTTCCCTGTCAACCCACAGAGTTGTGGTGAAGGTTACATGAATTGGCAAATGTGAAATTGTTTGTCAAGTAGTAAGAGATGCACAAAGGTAAGGAAAGCTGATTCATTAACAACAATGAGGGCCAGGCCTAAGAAGAGGGAAAGCAGGAGATGTTTGCCTTGATGTTTCTTACTCCCCACCTCTGGTCATTTTCATACCAATGCCCATATAGACCATGTAATAAAGAAAAGTTGGGCATGTAAATTACTGATCACATTAATGTACATTAATTTAATGTATTACCTTCCTGGGGCATTTAAATTTTAAATGAGTGGAAGGAGGGAAACTCGAAGGAATTGATATTGCAGAAATGCTGGTACAGTGAGACCTGTGTGAATGCCAATATATGGGACAGGGAGGACTCCCTTACAACTCCCAGATCATCCTATATGGTTCACTTTGATTCCAACATCAGGGAAGGGGAGTGATTAAGTGGACAGACCATGCTCTAGAGCCTCAGCTTTATGCCATGCCTCTTTCTCATGCTACAGAGGAAGGCAGTTGAGGAAGTTAGGTGGAAACCTGGAACTATGAGTAGTAGACCATTAGGGGATTTGGCCTGTGTGTCCTAAGTGGCCTTCCAAGTGAGGATAAGACATCAATGAATTGTTAACTGCGTGGTGACCTTTTCTAGATAGCTGCCAACCCACTTTTAGCCTCCAAGACTGCCCAGAGTGGAGGAGAAATGAACACCTCACAGAGTGACAGAAGAAGAGATGTCTCAGCCGCTGTATCCCTATGTGTTTCTAGCTGGCATTGTCTGAACCTCTCTTTCCCCTTGCCCCCCCCTTCTGACTTTTAAGGAGAGCCATAATTTCTATCACAAACACCCACACATGCCAGGCTCGTGGTGAACTTCCCGGGACCAAGCTCTACAGACAGCAATACAACCTGGAGGATGTGAATATGACCTTCAAGAATCACAAAACCTGGAGAAAAGGTACCTGGCCCTCCTTGAAGAAATTGGTTTTCCAAATCTCTTTATTAGATCTTTTGAAGCAGGGAGGCAAATAAGTGCATATTTTCTCCAGCACATGGGGTCACCCCAGACTTGAATCCCAATCTAGCAGAGCCCGGACCCCAGGGGCCTTCGTCTCCTGTGCTCATGCTCTGCTCCGGGAGAAGGCCGGCGATCGTGACCCTGCATTGACGTTGTGGTGCCCATTTTCCAGTACCTGCTCCTCAGCAGCACGGTGGCCACCTTCTCCCCAGAATGCTTTCTCCTCCACCCAGAGGGCATTCTCCTCCTCCCAGAGGGACCTTTTATCCTCCCACAAGGCCTTCTCCTCCTCTAGAAGAGCTCGTTCCTCTATCCACAGAGCCTTTTCTTCCTCCCACAGAGCTCTGTCCTCCTGAAGAAGATTCTGATCTCTTTCCCATAAAGCATTGTCCTCTTTCCAGAAAGCCTTATCCTCCTTCCAGAAGACTCGGTACTTTTTCCAAAAGGTTTTCTCTTCTTCCCGGAAAGATTTTTCCATTTCCCAGAAGGCTTTTTCCTCTTCCCAGAAGGTTTTCTCCTCTTCCCAGAAAGGCCTCTCTTCTTCCCAAAAGCCCAAGATCTGGCCCTGGAAAGCACGAATTTTGCCTCGGAAATTCCACATCTCTTCCCTGAAGTCTTCTATTTTCTCACGGAAAATTTTTATCTCTTCCCGAAAAGCCTTTTCCTCCTGCAGCTTGTGAATTAGTTTCTTCTGACGAATGTTAGGCAAGGACACCACCAGTGACTGGAAGCAAGAAAGCCCCATCCATTTACACACCTTGAAGAAAAGTATCTTCCTACTCAACCAGAATGGTGGATTGGCCATGATGGATCAAAGGCCGTTGGCCAAGTCCAGGTCAGCTGGTCAAACCCTGCGGGGGCACCAAAAAGAATATGTTCATGAGTATCACATCCCAGAGGACAAGCCCTTGGATCTGTACCTTTTGATTTGGGAAAATTCAACCATTTCTTTCTGTGTCCCTTTGGTAGTGTTTGTAAGGAATAAACTTTGGTAGAGAAACATGCTCATTTGTCATGGCTTTGGGCTGAAGAGATTGTCAATATATTCAAGCTCCAAGCTGCTAAAAATCATACAATCTCAGTCAACAAGGACAGTGGTTCTCAATTAGGAAAAAAAGGAAAGGAAATCAGAGGGGAGGGGAGAAGAGAGGAGCAGAGGGGAGGGAAGGGAAGGGAGAGATCTCCAAATATTGCCATGTATCTAAGAGATGAGATATCAGAACTACACACAAAAATTCTGGTAACTACAAAGGTGGGCCAAACAATGAGAAAAAGGACTGAACATGGGAAAGTGGATAGAGTGCAGGGGAGACAAAGGGTACATACACATGGTAAAGATACTGATTTCCATTTTGAGCTTTCTGGAAGCAGCTGCCAGGATCTCGCCTCATTCTATGGGCCTTGCCAAGCACCACACTGTGGAGCAACGAGTTCCTTCAGTAGCTTATTGGGATTTCTCCTTTTTCTATTTTCTGACTTAAGAGCAGGGAGTGGGAGAGAAGGAAGGACACACAGCTGGTGTGTGTGTGTGGTGAAGAGATGGTGGCTACACTGTGGGCAGCTGGTGGTATTACCATCCACCCAATCACACATGCCAGAACCTGGAGCTCCTCCTTAACACCTTTCTCCCCTCACTGGACTTTTATCAATCATCCAGCCCTGCCAGTTGAGATCCCTAACAATTTGTCAAACCATGCCCCCTGCTCCATCTCCTTGATCAAAGTCAGTTCAGACCAGGATGCTGGTAGCAGCCTGACTGACTACTCTCTCTGGTACTGGTTTTACCCTCCCATCCCTCCCAACACTGTAGCCCAGGGATGCTTCTAAACACTGTCCCATCATATCACAGCTGCTCACAAATCTTCAAAAACCCCATGGCCCAAATATCAAATCCAAATGCCTTAGTAGGCCCTCTGCAACATGACTCTCACTTGTGTCTCTCTTTTCCTACCCAGCTCCAGATCTAAGATTCAGTAATAATGAGCTATATTCAGTTCTCTAGGTGTGATCTGCAGTTTCCTGCCTCCACACATCTGTAGAGGTGAACTTTTCCTCCCATTATGGCCTTGAGTTCCTGCTTTTCCTTTCCCTCTGAAAGCTACTTGGGCCCTCCAAAATTTATCACCACCTCGCTGATGCTACCTGACTCTGCACACTCCCATTGTTTACTTCTCATGTTTGATTAAAATTAGGTGTAAACAAGCTTTGCTGCCATTCCTGTAAGCTGACATTTAATATAAAGCTGTGCATATAGCTGTAATTGATGCAAATGTTGGTAGAATTAAAATGAATTTCATTGAATTTTGGAACTTAAATTTTCTGTTGTGTTTTGGTTATGGTCCAGGAAGTGTTTCCTGGACATGTCCCAACACTGAAAGTAACTGCCTTCAAATTACACTAAAACTTTCTTACTCCATGAGCAATGTTTGCACTACCTAGAGAACTTGCTGAAGCAGTTTCATAAATTTTTTCCTTTTTGTAATAGACACCAACTATTGTCCCATTCTACATTTCAAACTGTCCACTGTATCCCAAGCTGTTATGTTCAGGCTCTTTTATTTATTTATTTATTTATTTATTTATTTATTTATTTATTTATTTAAAATATCTTTATTGATTTCAGAGAGGAATGGAGAGGGAAAAAGAGAGCTAGAAACATCAATGATGAGAGAGTCATTGATCGAGCCCGCAACCGGGCATGTGCCCTGACAGGGAATCGAACCCCTATCGCCTGGATCCTAGGTCGAGACTCAAACACTGAGCCACGCTCGGCCAGGCTCAGGCTCTTTTATAGCTTCACATCTTCTGCAGGTCTAGTACACCAGTCATTGCTGGGCTTTCCTTTTAGGGCTGCTCTCTGCAAAGGACAGAGTGCCTGCATTGATAATGGGGAGGAGAGAACCACAGAACTCAACAGGGAAGTCAACTGGGGGCAGCTGTCATTTGAGAATAAGAAAAACTATGAGTTGTAGGTCAGTGAGCACTAAGGGACCATTGTTAATGATTTTTCCCCTGAATCTAATGCCCTACTTGGGCAACAATGAGAGAAAACTGCTTATGACATTTGTTGAGTAAATGTATTATAGAAATAAATGCATTATAAGTCAAGTACTCAGGCACTCCCCCTTGTTCTTAGAGGATCTGGGTTCCTATTTGTGAGAAAATAGAGGCCCATGGGCTGTTTCCAGTCCCCCAGCTTCTATTTCACCCTCGTGGCATCCATATCCATTTTTAATGCCCTCTTCTAGGTCCCTTGGCCAAGCCAGGCCTCCCCCATCTCCTCAACTGCTTGGTGATCCTATTTCATCAGCAACCCCTCATTCATGGGCCTTTCATATCTCTCCTCTCTCCTCTCTCCTCTCTCTCTCTCTCTTTCTCTCTCTCTTTTTCTCTCTCTTTCTCTCTTTCTCTCTCTCTCTCTTCATTCTGGCCTCTCAGCACACAAACACACTCAAGTCTCCCTCTTTGTAAAAACAACCAACCAACCAACCAACCAGGAACAGAATCCTCTAACTTTATCTTCCTATTTGCCCTCTCCTCCTTGAATAGTCTTATCAAAGAGCAATTGACAATCGCTGTCACCATTTCTGCATTGCATTTGAACCCACATCCTACAGCAATCTCTCTTTTGCTTCTACTCCACTGAAACTGTACCTGTTAAGAACATCAGTGACTTGCTATTTGTTTAGTTTTCATCCTCACTGACATCTTGGCAGCATTTAAGAATATTTGACATGAATCCTTTTTGAAATTCGTTCCCCTTTGACTTCTTCAACACAGGCCATCCTGTTCTCCCTAACCACTTTCTCTGTCTCTCTGGGGACTCCTTTCCCACCATACACTTTATCCATATAAAGCAGTACTTACCTCATAAGGCTCTCGTGAATGAACTGGATATGTTGAGCGCCTAGCACAGTGCCTTGCACATAGCAAGTGTTCAACCAATAGAAAACAAGAAATATTATAATTGCTATTTTGTATCATTTTAAATCTTCTTAAGATGGCATGACAGGACAATTATCTGCCCCTACAAACCAGCTTAGCTTTATATTGAGCCACCACCTTTGACCTGGCCATCTGGAATTCTTCAAGCATGACCCTTTTCCTCACTTCCATTTCATGCTGTTCTCAATGGATAGCTTTGCCTAAACCCACTTCACTTCACCTAGCTAACCAAGACTCACATAAGGAGCAATCTCCTCTAAATAGCCTCTCCTGATTCTTCCCCAGGCTGAACATATGCTCCTCCTGCCCCACTAGGGAAGCTTGGCCTCCCAACTCTATGTCTAGCATCTAGCACAATATCTTGTACATAATAGATGCTCAGTAAATGTCAACTGAACAAATGGCAATCTCCTTAGAATGTCAGAAAAAAAGTCATCTCTAAGTTTTTCTCATTACCACTGAGATAAAAACTAAGTACAATATCAAATATGTAGTTGTATACTTAGATGTAAAGTACAATATAAAATGATAAAACTGTATCTATCTAGATCTAAAATCATGAATCAAAGAAACATGCTTAATATCCAATATTATACTTCAAGAGTAGGAACTTATTTTAAGGAAAATGTTATATGTTACTCTATACTTAGAACCAAAATTCAATCTAAAGTCAGTAGTTACTTACTGCTTAGCTGTTTGCCAACTGAGAAAGTCCTGTAGCCCTCAGAGGGCAGGCACTCATTGTTGTGTCAAATCCTTGGTGATGTCATTTTCACAGACTCCCCTAACAGTGTTTGCAAGGACCCCTCCGTCCCCTCTCAGTCTTGATTCACAGGGTGGAGAGGATCAAGATGGGGCCCCAAATAAGACACTTTAAAGAGTGGAGAAGAGTCAGAAAGCTTGAAAGATTTCTCCATTATCTGTCCTGACTTCACCTATAGCGTGGCACTGATGATGACTGACAAATGATTGTTACATCACATCCCATCTGGATTGTGTCCAGAAGCAGACTTCTGGGAAATCATGTTTCAATGGGGGGAGGGGGAGAGGTTGTAAGTGATGAATCACTCCTTTGCTGCTTTCAATATATATATATATATATTTGGTCTTTTGACAGTTTGACTATTATATGTCTAGATGTGGATCTCTTTGAGTTTATGCTACTTAGAGTTTGCCGAGCTTATTGTATATTCATATTTGATGCAGTTTTTTCTCAAATTTGAAAAGTTTTATTTGTTATTTCTTCAAATACTTTTTCTTTTCCTCCTCTCCTTGTAGGACTCTTATTATCTGTGTGTTAGTAACAATAATTTACCACAGATCTCTGAGACTTTATTTCTTTTTCTTCATTCTTTTTTTGCTCTGTTGCCTAGACTTGATAATCTCAGTTTACCTGTCTTTAAGTTCATCGGTTCTTTCTTCTGCTAGTTCAAATTTCTGTTGAGCCCCTCTATTCTTCATTTTCAACTCAAGAATTTCTATTTGTTTTTTTGTATTTATACAAATTTCTGTCTCTTTATTAATAGTTTTATTTGGTGAGACATAATTCTCATACTTTTATTCTTTTGGTATGGTTTCTTTTAGTTCTTTGATTTATAATAGCTGACTTAAAATCTTGGTTTAGTAAGTCTAACTTCTATAATCCCAGATGGATTCCCTCCAAACTTTATCCCAAGAGCTTACAACTCTGGATTCTCCTCACACAGCTCTAGTGCACCCTGCCCTCCCTCTGACAGAGCCCAAGGTGAGTGGTTGCATACAAAACTGTGCATTGGCCCTTTAAGAAGGTGCCTACATTCCCAGCCATGTCTCCTTGACATACAGAAACCTTGCTGTTTTTCACAGCCAGATGTTATGTGA